GTTATTAACTTTATACTAAATTGACTATTTTCCGGCCCTTTAGATCGTATATTGAAAATTTTTATAAAACAATTATTCAAAGCCATTCATTGAAACAACTTCTAAGAAGGCTTCCCAATTGCCAAGTATCAAAGCTTTTGTTAAAGTATAGAAGTAACGACATTAAAAATGCTTTGTGATTACTGACACGTGAAATGCTAAATGCTTCACTTTCCTTTAGTGTTTCATAGTCTGTAAGTAAATGGCTTTGAGGGCAACAAAAAACCGGTTCTTGTAAAGCAGGAAGATGCTAACTTCTCTTACTAATTCAAGTAAAATGCAAAATTTATAAACCTCTTTCCACCAGTGTTTTCGATCTCGACAGCTCAAAAGTTTGGAGTGATTTATTCAAGGGTTGTGGTAAAATTACTTGCCCTAGCCTACCGGTCACAAAATTTGACATCCAAGTTAATTTAATGCTACAGTAAACACTTTATCAAAAACTTAAGGCAATGCTGAGCCCTTCTCTCTTAAGGACTTACAGAAATAGAAGAAATTAACACCCGTGGGTTGCATGGAAATATCTGCATTACAGCCTGCTGACGCTCCTTAAGCAATCAACTGGCGTCCGCTTTGTGGTTATCCTATTCACTCACCATAGTTTCTCGCTCAGTGAAATAACTCTACAAGTCTTGTTAGGGTCTACTTGAGGGCGTTTTTTTTACACAGACACATTTGTCATCGAATAGGCCCTAATAACGCCCTTTCCGTACGACAGTGGATGCCGTGCCCGTGAGGACACAAATTACCATGGCTAATGGGCTCCAGAAGTCCTATCACCCTTAAACGACAACCGAGAGGCGCACAAGAGTTTCTTGTACATCAGAAGAGAGACATTAATTGTGCGAGTGCTGGGATGGGGCAATCGTGACGTGGGTTGACAATTTACGTGTCACTGTCGTGGGACAAAAAGAGGCTCGGTCTAGGAAATTCAGCATCATTCGATCACAGCTAATGTCACCTATTAGATGTATTGCTATTATTTTGCTATTGATCCAGAATGGCAGTCAATCGAGACAAGATCACCTCAGACCTTATGAGATCGAAATAACTGCAAACGGATGATGTTACTTGCGTAGACTTATCTGGTTTACTTGGTTTAGTGAACGGTACCTCATACTGGAGTCTTCTGTCTCACGAAAAAAATCGTTTGATGGATTTATTGAAATGACTCATACATTATTTTACACCTTTTTTGACTTCACATTTAAAAAATCATTTTGACTAAATGTAAAGGTGGGTTTGAATTAAAACTTTGCTTAACAAACAACTCGCCTAACTAATTGTGTTCAATGATTACGGAGGGGTTGGAGATGCATACCTTTGGGAATAACGCATTGCGTTTGTCCACCCTAAGCTTTGTCCCACTCTCTGCTATGTTTTAATTTCACAAAAAGTACTGCAGCTTGTATCGTTTTGCGTACAGACTGCGGCTTAGACTTCCGTCTCCTAGTACACTCGTCCCCTTACTTACCAGGGCATATCGTTCTAAAGCAGCTGAGTGTTGTGATAAAATCTAAGTAACCCTAACACCTTTAACAGCCTAGGCTGTCATTAGTAGTTTGGACTTTGCGTCCCGGAATCGACGCGGTGCCTTAAATCACTATTTTTGGATAACCCTTCGTGGCAAGAGTAGCTGGTATCTGATAATGTGTGAATCTAACTGTACTTTGATCATTGCATCAATTTCGACAGCATAATTATGTGATTCAAAATACCTTGATGTGGTATTTATCTCATCGTATTCTTGTAGGGACATAAGGCTATCAGGTAATCCTCTTTACGAGCTTCTTCACTGACGCATTGCTCAGACTCAGCGCTCGTCTCATGGGGTTGAAATGACTAAAAGAGTCAAATGGGAGACCATAGGTAAAACAAATGCATACAATTATTAAAAAAGCTAAGTTTGGACCATTGAGCTGGACTTAAATGGAGACGAATGCTAAATGCTATGCAAAACATGCGTTAGAAGATTGAAAACAAGGTCGCAATGCCCAATGTCTATAGTTTGAAAGCACTTAAGTGCTCACATTCCTAGTCTAGAATGGAAAGGTACATTCGCTTAGCAATTAAGTAGGATGTTCCTTTGCTGACATTTAGGTTCTGTGACATTAGATTTCGAAACACGAATACGCGATAAAAATGGCCTATCCCAATCCCCACTGTCGGTGCATCTTCACACACGCAGAGGTCGGGCCATGCAATATATAGTATTTACCTCAAATTCCAAAAACCAAGTTTGCTCAATTAAAGTAGTCATTAAGAGCATGGAGAGTTTCTTAGTCTACATTTTACAAACCACGTTTACTGGCCTAGGAAGGACCAACTTTTGAAGCTTTGGGTGTGCTACGCTATCCCTGATGAAGAAGGATCCTCACAAACCACATGCAGCTTTGGCTTAGCCCGCAATGACTGGGTTGTGATTGGGTTCCCAAGGCCTTATTTCATACTTTGTGGGATATTTTAGTGATTTGAGGTGCTATTCACCGATGTTCAGCGCCATGAGCCGATTAGGCTTCCCCCAAACTGACATCACGTATAAAAGCATTGTACGGCTTTTCCTCCCAATATCAACTCTCACTGTTTTTCCGAGAGGTGGGAGTTGACTCATGTACACATCCACGCATGTCGATGGGGTTGTAGGCATGACCCACGTGGTCGCAACAACTGTTTGCGGTTGTTCCAAGTGGCCACCACAAACCACTCCCGCCCCAGTTTTGGGACGGATATGCGCTTTCCCGCCCTCAGGGGCTGCTCTTAAAGTTGATTTCACTGGGACGGTTTGAAGCTAAGAGAAGGAGAAAGCGACGGCACCCACATCCGACTCGATGTAAACGACTTCACAACTTCACCGTCTCCACATTGAAACCGACTTTACCGACGAGGTTCGAGGGCTGTTTTTAATCCCAAGGCCCTTGACGCCTTTTACTGGTGATCCCTACACTTTCCACTTCCTGAGTTACCTTTTTTAAACAAATTGGAGCAAAGCGATTGCGTCTTTTTCTTCAGGAAATAATTGATACTGTAAGGTGTAACAATAGATATAACCAAGTGTTTTTTCTGAAGAATGTGGCCGCAAAAAATGCATTTGTGCGTGTAAAAAATGAATAAAGCACTAAATAATGCACAGGCATGCCTAGAGGAAAAAAGACCTCCCCGCGGATACTGCAGAATAATACAAAAAAAATGTCAGAAGCGTGACGATGCGCCCGTCTGTGAATCAACTATATGCTGTGGTAAACACTACACATTCAAACACAGCAGCGAGTCCAGTGACCAGCCTTTCTGATTGAAGACATCACAATCACACCGTAGGAAATGGTTTTGTTGCAAACAACCTCATGACCAACATCTGAAATAGTTTATTCCGTGGAGAATGGGCAAAAGGACCATGCAAGCACGCCAGTGCCACTGTTGATGAGGATCCATCAGACTTGTCGACTAGCATTAACAACTGCTTGCTGTCAATGTAAACACCCACACTCAACTCAGAGGTAGGAAAACCGACAGTCAGCGAGTTTTCTATCCGCAAAGAAACAACTTTTCGATTCATATCAAAATGGTATTAAGGATGAACGAAGCGATATTGAAGAATTGAAGCGTAATTATCGAGAGGAGAATCTTATGCCAGAAAGACTGTATTTGTCCACCGAAAGACCTTAGGGGTAACGTCAGTTAATGAAAGTAAGGAAAGCTTTACATGTAACCTGACTCACCCCCATTCATCGCTATTTATGGACTCAGGCACGTACCACGAAAGCGTTATGACAGGATTTCATGAATTTAAAGTGAAACGACACTCCTGGAATTTTAGCTGAAATAGTAAGCGAGAATTTAGTTCAAAAGGAGCGGGGGGGGGGGGATTTGCTCTCCGTGAGAGACATTTGAAAATCATGGAGGCTTTCTGTGGTAAAAAGTTCACTCATGATCTACCAGCCATTAAAGGTAACTTGTGTTAGAAGCATTTGCGATGTAAGAATTAACTAGAGTTCGAGTCTATATACAAGGCCAAAGCGAATCTGGAGGGACGTGAAGCTATTAAAACCAGAAAAATAACCCAAAATCCCAGACATAAACTGCCAAGACGTCTTATTTGCTAAGAAAAAGTTTTTAATTGGGGCGAGTTCCTGCTCAATGTTACTGACCTAGACAAAAAAAGCCATATAAAAAGTCCCCGTAGCTTCAGTGGTGGATTTTGCGCCGTCAACGAACGCAGTAATGATTGAGAGGGTTTTGGAGCAAAACAATCCTGACAGGTTCAGGTTACTTGAAAGTGTTTAAGTAACGCTTCACTGTGGCATGGAAATGGGAACATCAACAGCAAGCGTAAGAGGAACATGATTCTGTTTCAAAACTAGCTCAAGAGCGCGTTCCCATAGCAAAAAATAGCCGGGAAACTCGAGACCTCTATAAAATCTTTGCTTCTTCCACTAAAACTTTGGACAAAATAATAAAAAAGCAAATGATTTCTGAACAATTAGTTAAAAATACATAAAGACATGTACATGAACATTCAGGGTCCGGAAGAGGAATAATAGAAGAGGAATCAGTGTCTGCACTAATCTTCATCCACCGCCTCCTCTTCATCTGAGCTGAAAATCATATAGGATCTGGAGGTAGCAGCAGTGCGACGAGTTCGGGTCCTGCGGGGACTGGGAGGGCGCACCGCCACCATCTCCTCCGCCTTTTCAGCCTCCCCGCTATCAATGTCACCGCTGCCCATTTGGTTGACACGGCGCACTGACTTGCGTGCGTCGGGCGCTGCGATTCGGCGCCGCTTTGCCACCGCCTTCTTCACCATAACTTCAGCGCGCTGCAGAGCCTCTTCGTCGGCGACACCTTTTCGATGGAACTGAAAAGCAGCCATGAAGACCAATATCATAATGGTATACACTCTCCACTTATAAACAATAAACTCCTGCTACTACATAGAGATCCTTCAGTAAACGATATAAATTCTGCCCTATTTATCAATTGTGAGCAGATAGTATCATTCTAATACAATACCCAAGTTGTGTAGTTTCCCCCGTATAATTGCAAGAAACCTGCAGCATTCACTTTCATTACACCCTGTATGTCTGAAGTGCACTAGAGTCAAATTCAGAGCGACAAACAACGCCTTTCATAGAAGTGAGAGTAAATCGTCCAAGCACCTCCTCGATTTTAGCCTCGAATTCTTCCAGGTGCGGTAGAGCATCAGTCTTGGCGTTTTTCTTAACGTTGGCGAGGATTTCCGAGAAGGATTGGTAAACATCGGGGATGGAGAGCTGTTGTGCAAAGATGGGCAAGTTTTCCTGCAATGTGCGGATCATACGCTCGTTGAAGGACATTACCCGCAGACAGTAGGCCAGATCACGCCACTGCCGCTCCGTCCTATGACAGAAGAGGGAGGAAGGGGCACGGTAAGTGCAAATTGGGTTGAAAATTCAACATGAAGGAGAGCCAGAAAGTGAGGAATGAAGCTTACTGTGTTACTCGGAAGCGAGAGCAGATCTTCTCCACCAGGGTTTCACAGAGTCGTTCCTTCTCAATCAACGGGAACAGGAAACTAAAGGGAACAACAACACCACCGAAAAAAGGAACTATTTGCAAAGTGTTCTATCCACAAAACCTGTAAGGTGAGTGAATTGACAAGTCGCACCCAACAATGCATTTGCAGCCAATGCAGAGGAACCACTAGCGCTAGGAAAAAACTAGGTGACGTCAACTGTAATGCTACCTTTTCTTGGACAAAAACATCAGATAAGAAACAAAACCTGATATGGACTGCTGCGGAGGAATATTCTGAAATGACTACCAATTAAAGGCAAAAAATATGTTTGCGATCACGGCCTCAAAACGGGCAGGCAGCACCACATACTCGACAGTCGTTCTGAACTTGGTTTCATTGACTCCCACTTCGGGATCGCTGAGACGACTGATTATGTCAGGTATGACGTTGTAGAGAGCGTTGCCCTTTTGAGCGAGTTCTCGGAAGAAGAGACGTGACAATTGCCTCAAGCGATCGTTCTCATCTACCAGACAAACCGTCATTTCACTGATCTGTCCCTTGACCTACATAAGGCGACGCAAATAAATGAATAGAGGAATATCACCCAGCAGTGCCAGTAGAGGTAAGAGTCGGCAAGTACATAGAACCTACCTTGACCATGTCGTTGAGAATGAGGTGGCTTAGGGTGTTGAGCGCGTTGATGCGGACTTTGGGAGAGGTATCCCTGAGCCGGGCATAGAGGTTTGGCGTCCAGGGCTCGATGAGGTTGGGAAAACGACGAGCCAGATCACCTAGGCCCACGATCAAATTTGCACGCACCACATCGGAGGGACTGCGCTCCGCCAAGGTGAATAGCAATTGCAGGTTCTGCTCGCACACCGCACTGCTTACCAGCATAAACTTCGCCAGCGAAAGTGAGGCAGACGCCTTGGAAAGTGAAAATAACACCCTTGACTAACACAAACTGTGGGCAGGAGGAAGTTGAATTAGGAGAAGGGAGGAATCAAAAAGAGTCTATTTAGCGAATCACTAACCCTAACCTTGTAGCCGGTGCTAAGCAAAGCGGCAGAAATGAAATCGATTGCATCTATCACTAGCTCATGATAGAAGAGCGTCAAATTTACATGAATTAGAGAAAACCTGGGTTGATATTATCTCGGAGACTAGATAGGCATTTATAATGCCGAAAGTTTGTGATAAACACCCAAAAACTCAGTGTGCATTTGAAACAAATGAATACTTAAATTCACAAACACCACTTGAGGATAAAACTCGTGATAGTATTTCCATTAAATACAAAAAGTGATGCAATAGATCTACGTGAAAGAAGTCTAAGAAGCAAAATCAAACACACTTGCAGGTCGGGATCAACGTATCTGCTAGGATGTGAACAAACATGCACCACCAAGGGAAGGAGGCGAGATAGCAGGTGGTCAGGTTCAAGAACAATTTCGTTGTTGAGAACATTCCGTATATAGTCTGCTTCGGCATCGTCAGCAACCGCTCCAAGGAGAGCAGCCTCCTCCTCCAAGGCGCTGTTACCGGCGCCTCCGCTCGTGTCGCCCTTCTGGGTCCCATTGGTGGTGGTGTCAAGGCGGGTCGAAGCATTGGGATTAGCATTCTGAGTGCAGAAATATAAACTGTAATAGGTACTCTACTGATTATTTATCAGTATAAAAGCAAGCTCACCAGTCTTGCCGACCTGGGGGTCTTCACAAAATGCTTTTTTGCCTGTTTGCTCTCCTCCTGAATGACCTCACGCCGTTTAAGCTCATTCAGGATGGAGAACTCCAGGTGAACAAGCATTTTGAGGGCTACATGTCCAGCCAGAGCGATGAATCGCGCCAAAATGAATGATGGGATGGTGGGTGGAACCGTCTAAGGGTTAATGAAATGGGGGAATTCTATCATCAGTAGCACCGAAACCCTTAGATTGTTTGGTAAGGTGAAATATGTTAGGAATTTTACTAGTGCAAATTCATTGAATGTTCTTATCTGAGTAATTTGGCCCAAAAACCTTATTGTGGTAGACCAACAGGAACTCCTAATAAAAAAACATAAGTGAAGCTAGGGTGTGAGCTCGTAGAAGAGGCATATGAAGCAGATCGAACACAAACTTGCGACGTGGGCTCAGCGGTATCATTGGCTGCATCGACGTCACCCTGCGCCTGGCTGTTCTCCTCTCCCTCGTCGTCCAGTTGTGACGGCTCCTGAGCCTCCTTCTGCGGCTGCGTAAAAGATGGAGGCTTCATCAGTGTCCTGAGTAACTGCTCACCAATTTCACGGATCACTTCCGCCATAACCAGACTTGGTGTGTCGATGAGTTGAAAGATTGTCGCGACCGCCTAGTCACCACGGAAAGCAAAAACATGTTAAAGGGCGGTAGTTAAGTGCCTCAAGGCTCAAAAGCGGTGTACAAGGAAGGCTGCACGCTTTGGACAAGAAAATTTATTTGAAATAAACAGCATGATGGTGGCAGTTTGGGGGGACAAGGATATCGAGGCAAGCTAGTTAAAGCAGCAAATTTACAAATTGGCGTAAAAATGCAATTTAATGTCTTTATTTGAGCGAAATAATGTTGAAACATAATACCCTCACCTGCTCCATCAAAGGAATCCAATGAAGGCGAGAAGAAGATGCAAATGTTGAGATGAGAAGTCTGCGCAAGGAAGTACAAAGCGGGTCCGAAACCGGTAGCCTAAAAGGCTCGTGAGATTTCGGGTTGACGGGTGTTGAGCGGGTAGAATGACTTTTCTGTTTCCCTATCTGTAGCCAAAAGTAAGCTGTGTAAATCACAACTTTCCGCCCAAAGGTATATTGTAAACCAATGAGAGGAAATAAATATCCCCAGTGCCCACCTTATCAGTAGGAATCATCTGTTGGATCGCCATGCATGCATACATGGCGCATTCCAAGTCGATATTCGCGTATCCCGTCGCGGCACCAAGACCATAATTGACAAGATCGTTGAGATGCAACTCCAAATTTTTCCTACTTGGTCTATAAACAAAGAGGAGGCCCACATATGCACGACAGTAGAGGCTAATATGGCCAATGGAAAACAGAAGAGTTAACTGCATTTGCTCATGCTTTGGCTTTCAAGCGGTTACGGGGATAAAATCGAACCCATTTTGAAAACGACGTGCGATAATCCGACGATCATAGGAATGAAGATGAATAGGAGAAATAGACTAACGAGGAGATCATTTTGAGAAGAATAAGGAGGGCTTTAAGCTCCTGTCGACGCTCGGAGCGAAAGGCGGCGGTGTCAGTCATAGCGGCGGCAAGATCGGTGAAGCGACTCCAAAGCTCGCGCCTGAGATCTTCGTCCACGTGGCCCAGATCGAGGAGCTCCCGCAGGATGCGTTCAAGGCTAACGAAATCGCCCATTGTTGATTCCGAGACAAGACGCACAAGGGTGGAAATGACCGCTGCCAGCGCCGCTGAGGACAGACGACCCTCCACCGTAAAAGACTCGTTCACTATATCCGGCTGGAAGTAGAGCCGACTGTAGGGTACACACAAACAGTGAAACCGACAAAGAGCACAATAAAGTGGCTAAACCCATCATGGTTTAACTCCAAACTGACTACCTTTTCCACAAAATTTACCCGCCTTCAAAAAGGAACTGATATGAATAATGCTGCTAGGAGAAAAAGGATTTTGAAGAAAAGTGAGAAACTCAGAGGAATTTGTTTTTGCCAAAAGGGAAACGGCGGACACTCACCGGGAGGCATCGAGAACGGCTTTCCTAATTTGTTCCTCCTGCGACCAAACCATAGCCATCATGTGGCGGAGAGCGGCGTCCAGGTTTCTCACTCCGGCCTGCTTAGCAGTGAGGAAGAATTCAATGGCTTCGAGGACATCGGTAACATTCTTGGAGTGTAGGAGGTTGCACACATCCTCGATGCCTGTGGATACGTAGACAGCGAAGCGCTGCATTTCGTGCAGGTAGGCCACACAGGCGCGCTGGCGAACCAGATCTGCCTTCTGGGCCTCAAAGGCCACCTCAGCGGAGATGGGTGGCGGGTGGGAGGGAGTGGCATTCATCTGTCCCTCCTGGGCCACCTGCGCCGCTGAGTGTATGACCGCCTCAAGAGCAGCCGCCGCTTCCGATACGCCTTGCTCGGCTACCACGTCTTCCTCTTCTTCCGCCTCGGATTCTGCTCTCCTGCTTTCCTCCTCTCCATCACTCTCTTCTCCCTTCTCTTCCTCTTTCCCTCCTTCGCCTTCATGGTCTTCTGAAAGACACTTTTTGGCATCATCGGTATTGGCCGGATTTGACGGTAATACGGCAGTATCCTCTTGATTGAAACGACCTGAGAATGAAAATGTTGAGTGCGTAATTAGTTGCTACTCTGAAGAATAGGCAATATTAAGAGAGTACCTACCAAAATTTTCCTCTAATACTTGAAGCCTCATCTGTTCCTTGTTCAAAACCCTGGCTAAATCTTCCATACTAAGCTAAAAATATAAAGTAGCAAACATTGAAGATAAATTAAATAATGAATTCATACGCAAATGAAGTCCAATTTACATGAGCGCGTCATCGAACATGTTCAACTACTGTATCTTGTCAAGTTATTAATAATCGTCGCAAAGGCAGCAGCTAATAGCATACCTTAGCTGCTGGGCATTGGATAATGATGACAGTTAAAAGACGCATAGCATATTTCCGGACCAAACTAGAGACATCGAAGACAGCCCCCTCCGATCCAACAAGCAAACTGGCCAACTGAACTTGCCGTCTGATTGGTAAGCCCTACAGGCGAGAAAAGTGAGGAAAAACGTAAAATATAGGACGTGCAATCGAGAGGCGCAAGTAGAAGCAACATACTCCAGCAGAAGCAAGATTGCACCAAATTTGCAGAGCGCGAGCACGCACAAATCCATTAACATCGTGAATATGCTCCTAAAAACAAGAGTTCAAAAAGGTGGCAATACGACTAATTGAACCGTAGCACTTGTGGATTGTGCTAGTCACGACACGACTGATTTTTATGGTGAGTTGGTTGAATGGGAGTAGAGTAACCAGGAGCTGCCAACACAGAGGAAGCGAGCTCACCTGGAGTACATCCATGAGGCGGTCACGCTGTATCTTATCCTTCCCCTCAATCTGTGCGTGGTCGGCGTGGAGGTTGCGCAGGACCTCGCCAATCACGTTAAGAGCACAATTGCGCATCTGGTAGGGGTCTTCGGAGAGCCGAGTGCGGATCAGCGGGAGAATAGAGGTTGCCAATGAGGGGTGCGCTGACGACACCAATTCCAGGAAGGAGCACAAGTTGTGAGTTCCCGTCGAATCGCGCTCCAGATCCTCGCCGTTGTAACTGCAAATTTCCTATGAGAACAAAGAAAGAGAATATGGAAGTGTTATGTATCAAAGGGGAGTGTATGGGGTGGGTAGGGTTTGATAATGCAGTGCGAGACGTACAGTGAGTAATTCCTTGACAAAAGGTACCATGGTCTCATCAGTCATGAAGTTGTTAACAATTGCGGAGAGTACGTTGGCCGTGTGTGCAAAGCATTGGAGCATTTGGGCCAATTTCAAGCAGCAGGCGATTCCATGCTTATAGAATTGAATCAGAGTGCTCAGGAGATTTGTGATGGCCATCCTCAGCATCGCACTGGCCGATAACGACTTGTTTTCCAACAACTTGTAGCAGCTATTCGCCAAAAGACTAAAGGAAAACAACACACAATGACCTCGAATGATACCAATTCGGTTACCCAAACATAGTTCCGCGTATAAGTTTTGGTAGACTAATGTTATCTAGTTGTTGGAAATGGAGAACAAGCCATAATAATGTGGAATGGAGCAGAGTAAGATTAAGTAACACTTTTTTATAAAAACAATAGCCCTTGTTGCAAAAAAAGCATACTTGACGAAGTCATCTTCAACTACTGGGGGATCCCAGAACTGTTTGATATCCAATTTGCAAAGTTGATCCAGCACTGTGATAGCAGTGGAGCACTCATCTGGCCAGTTGAGAGACATGTCGAATTCTGGTCGACGAACCTTGGCGGCAGAATTCAGAGCCTTGCTGCGTCCACGTCCGACCTACAGTGAAAGAATATTAGAAATTGTTTTTAAAAAGTCAACTCAGAAAAACTAGAAAAAGTATTACAGTAAACGAACTTGGGTGTCAGGCAGTACAATGGCATAAATAGGAGTGAAAAATGATTTGCAGACCATTTTTGTTCTCGCCAGCGATTCTTATTAAGGTGAACTATTTGCCTGCGCAAGTGCATTTCATAAAATAAGTACAAAAAGCATGGTCCGGCGATTTTTGTGAAATAAAGTGGAAAAACATGACATAAGACGAACTGACCTTTACCGAAGAAGAGGCACTACTCTCCGCAGTAGAATCATTCTCGATTATTTCGATGAGTTGACACAAAAGGTAGGCATGCATCTTAACAGCATTTCTTCTCTCTAAGAGATCATTTCTGTTGAGACCAGAAGTAGAACCGGGAGGCTTGATCACCCCAACCAATTCACGAACAGAGACCTCGCAGCCTGTTTCGGAAACAGTTTTACCTTAGGTCAAACAGAGACCTTACCTTTAAGCACAATATGCCATGTATCCTCCTTTGTACCTGAATCTACTGATTTCCATTCGCTATAAATGTATACAAGTCACATGAAACAAGTCCACATATCATAACACTTCTTCTAGCATCAAAACGACCTACTGCAAGACACTGAATAGGGCATCAAAACATTTCAGAACAGCTCCGTGGCCTTCGCGGACAAGGTATTTTTGGCAAGCTGGAAGGAAAGATGGTTAAGCTTGTTTTCTTCTATTAATGCCAACATGATTCTAGTACGTCCACGTTACCTTTAACTTCTGATGCCAAATTTCGCACTGAGACTAATTCATTGACAGAATAGGATGAAAGTGTAGAGTTTAGAAGATCACTCCGTGATACTGGAATCACGAATTCCAGCATGTTTTGCAGTAACGTAAGGCAAGAATGTCTAGGTGGAGAAAATTGCGATCAAAATGATATTCAGGAAGGAAAGTTGGATAAAACTAGTAAATCAACCCATTAATGATACATAAAAAGAATAGCAGAATTACCATAAAGGTTGCCGAAGCGTTAAGTCGACGATTAATGTAACTATTTTATGGTGGAAATAAAGGGATAAAGGGCTAAAAAGAAGGGAACAGTGCAAACCAAGCGATTAACCAAAGGGCCTTGCGAAGATGCCTTACAGATTACAAGAGGATTAATGGGAACAGGCATTTCCAACACACCTGCAGTAGGAAGACTCCAAAACGAGGTTATTTGAATATTAAGCACCCATTGGTCGGAATTCCTTACCAATAAAATGTGGGTATTTTGAAGCCCACCTTGATAAGAGATCATTATCACAATATGGGATGTCTAGAGCGTAAAGAATTTGCTATGCAAAATAAGCATGACTTAGTCCAAATCGCCCTCTCTAAAGGGTAACCGTTACGACAAGTTGGTAGGCACCTTAAAAAAATTAAAGGAAACAGATATCTATATCGTACACCTCGAAATGAGGTCAACAGTCTCGTGTAATGCTGTAGGAGGAACCGCTAATCCGTTTGAAGTGACATAGTAAGGCATTTACATAGGTAAACGGTGATGATTTTTAGCATGTCTCGCCTAACATTAATTAAAATCGGGATAATTTGCTAAGTGCCTAATGGCCTATAATACACCGATTTGCAGCTCCCCAAACTTTACTAAAATGTATTAAACTGAATTTCTGGCTTACAAAACTTATCGGTACGTTATTCTAAGAATCGGCGCCAACTAATAGAATGATGCGCAAAAGAGTGTTTCTCACGAATCATTGGTGCTTCTCTTGGAAATTTGGTGTGCTTCTTCCACCGCTTTACACTTGCAGTTTGGCGGTTCCGTTGGTTTTTGTTTGGGCTTTTGTACTTTAAGTGTACACTTACAAGTAGATCTGACACTGAATAGATTTCTTTGAAATTCGGCAGGGATACGCTAACAGTGGACTCGGTTTTCACCACACCTTTTTTCCCCAAATAATAGTTTCGGGGTTCCCAATGGAAGCGTCCGAAAGACAACATCTGGAAAGTTTCCTGCTGTTGAATTCACCTGCTTTAAAATTGAAACAAAAACTCTTTGACTTATTGACAATTGTGGAAACTCAGGTATGCCTTCTTGCTTTTTGCGATTACTCTGTGCAGCGTGACACTGCTGACTGGCCCAAATATCTAAGCACATTTGGTCTCTGTGCCTCCGAATTGGTTGAAATTCGGAAGTTTCTAGAATCTGAGAGGTTTGCTTTAGCTCAGTCGATGATTCTCACACCACAGGTTTTGAGTACGGAGGCGGAACCAAACCTAGCCAAGGCGACTGAGGATCGTCTGCTTATGTTCAACCAGGATGCGACACCCCTGTATCTTCGGACAAAATTGGACCCACAGGTTGGTCCTTACTCCCCCATCCTATATCCGCCCAAAACCCCTAATACAGTTTGTGTTACTGCTCTATCCGCGGCTCTCGTGAGCTTCGGTGCTAGCTTTTCGACCCAATTATCTCCGGACCTTAATTCTCAATGTATCCCGGGCCTGAGGATAAGGTTCTGATGCCCAAGCACTCCGCACCTGTTTTCCTCTTAATAATGACTCCTAGTTGCATGGAATTTGCAGCTGTGATTTACCTATAGGTAGAAGCTTTGCGGGCGGCCGTGGACGCGCGGGCGGCATCGCTACGCACTTCCCTTGCGGTTTCGCCAGAACATGCGCTGGTGTTGCATGAAAAGCTCGTTGTAACACTGCTGGATGATGTGCACCTACTGAAGCAGGAAATGGACCAAGACCAAGAGAAATTGGCCACTATCAGGTCGGCAGCAAACCAAGACGATCTTTTCAGTCTAGCGGCCACCATGGCCGTCGGCAGGGATTACGCAATGAGAATGAAACCCGATGGACCCAAATAGACAGAGCTCGTTCTCCCTTCTACGTACTGTATTATACTTATTTGTACAAATTCCACACAGTACTTCAACTACTGGAGCAAATTCTTCTAAACTCATAATTGATAGCAGTTTGGAATTTCGGCTTGCATCGAATGTGTGCAATCCCGCGGAGCAGTGTTGGCAAATTCGGTAAGTAGATTGTTTAGCCAGGTTACGCACAGCTGTGAACTAGCGCGCCGATTTGAAGCGATTTACTGATGCACTGAAGCGCACAGCTCGCACCGTATCCCAGTAACCGAAAAGTTACAGAAGACAGTACACAGTATAAACGGCGTGATACACGGCTATAAATCAACTACTTGATCGTTATTTTAACAGACATCTTGTCGGAAATAGTGTACTGATCCCAGTTTTTGGCAGGATCGTACGGTTCCCATCGACTGGCTGGAAAAATGTGCTTGTGACGCTCATACCACGAGCGCAAGCACACCTTACCCGCGTGTGATTCCTCTTTTTCCTTGCTCACGTCCATCCGTAGTCTTACATCGTCGTAGACATCGAAGGAGAAGAGCGGGCCGGATTTGCCTCGAGCTTTGGTAACTATAAAGTCGTAAAACGTGTAGTGATGAGGTATAATGAGGTCCTCTTTGATGTACATCATTTGATCTGCGGAGGCTGCGCGGAGCTCAGAAAAGTCTTTTCGAAGCTGGTCGAGGCATCGATGGAGGAAGAGGTGAATAGAGTGACCTTTTTTCATTTTAACTTGACGTCGGTGACCAGAGCCATCCCAGTAGCTATAGGTTATGTTTATTTCTTCCTCTTTAATCGCCGCCTGCTTCGCGTGCCATTCACGTCGCAGCTCCTCACTAAACATTAAAATTGGAATAAATCAAAAAGTGCAAATGAACTGATTGTTCAATCAAGCTGATTACTTGCCGTAGCTGCTTTTCTTCCTCATCGCGATCAATGTCGGGTAGAAAGCTAGTGTCAACATCTGGGTTTTTTCCTAATCTCCTACGTTTTTTCTTGAATTCCTCCGTCTCAGCTTCATTTGTTTCGTGATAATTTGGGTCGACCACCCCTCCTATGTCATTATTACTAGCGGTTACTGATCCAGATGGCGAAATGCAACGCTTATCGTTGGGATGTTTGAGGCTTAGTGGGGGCCTTTCATCTTCCGATTCAGTCAATTCATCCTCCTCATCTTCATTAAACGAAATGGGACCCTAAAATGGCACTAGCCATAAGATCGAAGTATACGGCATACTCTACGAACGGCACCGTGTTTCCCGTGCCGAGCCTCTCCAAACTTTGCCTTATTTGCTTTGCCAAGAGCAAGTTCCTTCTCTCTTTGAGTGATTACGGCCTGCTGACGAGCTTTCATCTCATCCAGTGTAACTAAGCCAATCTCATTACAGAAAACTCTAAATAAAGTCCTAAAAAGAGCTTACGGTATCCGTCTTGAGTTGATTTTCTATGCTATCGTGTTGGACAGTGAACTTATTAGTGAATTCGCCAACACGCAATTCCGCTTCAAGCTTCTTCTTTTGGAACTCAATTTCCTGACGTTCCTTCTCACGTTGTTTGAGCAGCTGCATTGCTCTTTGTGATTCCTTCAAGTTGCCTTTGAATGAGCTCATTTTCTGAGGGAAAAATAAGTTATGGTACATCAGGACTTATTCTAAAGCAATGTTGTACGAAATTAATTCGCGCTGTAATAGGGTCCACCAAGGTTTTTTTGGCGAAGTTCAAACACGAAAGACTTGGAAAGTAAATAAGCAACAACTTATACGAACAATCACTAAGGATCCAGGAGAATAAAAGCAAGTCTAATATTTGAAATGATCACAAGCAAATTCAGCATGTATTGATGTTGTAACGGGAAACAACAATCAACTTTGCACAAAGAGTCCACCAATGGGGTGAAAGAGGGGGCACTGAGAACCTAGGGGCGTGGGATTCCACGGGCAGACACCGACCACCCAAAAAGCCGCGAGGGGTGTCGGAACACTGTCGCGTATTCAAGTAGTTCAAACAATGCGCAATATAGTTCATAATCCTCCAGAAAAGGCAGTCTAAAAATAAACAAGAACTAGCCAAAGCTACTCAGATTTGCTGCTTTATATACCAGTTTGTAAAGTAGTTTACTTCATTTATTCTACCATGTTTCGCAAAAAACAATTCTTACAGGAAAAGAATTAGCAGTTTTAGGAAAAATTATGCATAAGTGCCAGATTTGTTGCGAAAACATCGGTTATTTTAGTAAAATTGGAGAATGAGTTACAGACTTTGCTTGTTGCCCTCGAATCTACTTGCGCCTTTCACAAATTGCTGGCGCTACATCTATTGACTTTGCAAAGGCAAATAAAGAAAAGCAATGGAATAATTTTAGCCTAGAACCTTAATTTTTGCTAATATACTTCCAACAGATTAATTTTCTTTAGACCAAACGGCAAACCGTTTATGTTTGTTTCAGTTAAAAGTTGTTCTATAATAATAAGGTGTGCTTCGCTGTAAACTATTGCAAGAGCTATCCGTGCTTACGCCTATTCTGCGTTTTCGTCTAAACATGCTAATGGCTGCGAAATCCTTTTTTCAGTTTTGCGATTCTTAATGCAATTATTTCATCTAGTCATAAAATTATTGAACAAGGCTGCCGTGGGATATAACTGCTGCTGTTTTAACCATCCACCTGCTAAATGCACTATGACAACCAATATGTATATATGTTGAAAGCAACGATGCTGGTGGTGACGTATTTTGCTTTGAATGGGAGACAAAAAAGACGGAGAAAATGTTTTGTTAGAAGAATTCGGGGCTCGCAGTACTACATCTGATGACAGTTATCTATTGGGTGCAGATCCTGACTTTGGTGATGCGTCGCTAAAGTTTTATCAACTGGTTTGTCAAATCCTCATTTTAAGCGACATTTTAGCTTCGTTTCTCAGATGCGACAGACAAGTTTTTATTTTGTCTTGGAATATTTGGGAGTGTTGTGACGGGGCTGGCGCAACCACTCTCACTTCTACTTCTTTCAAAGCTTGTTACATCCTTCACCGATGGGTCGAATGTTACACTTGTTGAGAAGATGAAGGTTTTCTTACCATACTACATTTCAATTGGCTTCGTGGCCTTTGTCATTTCATTTGTGCAAATGTTTGCCCTTACTGTCTCTGCGAAACGGCAAAGTCGACGCATTCGTTTACTGTTATTTAAGGTGGGTAGTGCGTCAAGAATGGAATGTACCACTTAAGACTATTTATGTGCTGATATCATTGTAGTTATAGCATCTTGTATTTTGTCGTTTGTTTACTAAGTCGTATTAGTCCATATCACAGCAATATTTTATTTATACAACCGTACTATTAGCGAGCTGTTCTGGTGTCTGGGCACATGACAAAATCTGTAAGAATTCCGGGTAACATTACGAAGTATGAAGTAGTGATAGTTTTGGACATTTTGCTCATTTTCATGTGACACCACCTATAAGTTCATCAGTAAATCAACTAAAATATTGGCTGATAATTACTGGTTTTAATGAAGTCAAATGTCGTATATCATCCAATAGTTGATTGCATGTGCTAATCGCACTATATGACGACCGCTTCACCATTAAATATCCCCTAGCGAATTGTGTTAAGTTTGGTTATATTACGCCTATTTCTGGAGAAAATAACCTTCCTTGTAAGCTGGCTTATTCTTAATGTTCTTCGTTAATGTGCAGCACATACTGCGACAGGATATTGCTTGGTTTGACAAACAAACCTCCGGAAATCTAATTACGAAACTGAGTTACAGCATTGACCAAATTGAAGGTGGTATCGGTGATAGGCTGGGCAATTTTCTTCAAAACGTCGTCACCGCCGTTGCAGCAGCTATTGTTTCTTTAATCACTGGTTGGAAGTTGGCATTAGTTTCCTTTACTATGGCTCCGTTTATCCTTGGTGCCTTCATGACCCTGGGGTGTGCCCTTCGAAAATATGCAACAAAAGAGATTCTTGCTTATGAAAAGGCTGGTTCAGTTGCAGCCGAGATTCTTACATCCATTCGAACAGTTTTTGCCTTTGGATGTCAAGAAAGGGAATCTTTTAGATATGAGAAGGAGCTAGGCGCTTCGGCTCGCGTTTTCATGCTCAAAAGTTTACTCATGGGATTTGGTACGTCAACATTAACAATATTTACATTAGTGCTTCTGAAAAACAACTTCTTTATCCAAAGTTATTCGCATTCAACTTTTTTAAAGGTCAGCGATCGTCAAGATGCGTTAAAAAACTCCAGATATCAAAAGTTTAATCTTGTCAATGATTTTTTGTGGATATTTGTCCCATACATTTATATAATAGCTGAGCAATCCTTTCGTGTTTTCTTCATACAGGTATGGGAATGATTGGCTGCACCATCTTTTGTGCCTCGGCACTCATCCTTTGGTACGGTGTTGAACTGATTATAACGGAAAGCTATTACAACGGCAACATTGTCTCGGTAAGGCGAGCTCTTACTTGTGAACTTAAAAGTCCAATTCGTCTAAAATTTGGTTGCAGGGATAAGGTTTATCTTGACCCAAATCTGACAAAAACGAAATTTCAAGTACTTGTTAGTATCAACCCAATGCTTTGAGATTTAAATATCTATTCTAAGTCCCGGATGGCAATTGTTAAGTTAAATGCATGTTTAAGCGTTTACTGAACTTAGGGTTTAAATAGACGGAATTGAAAATGCCGAATCTGAAAAACGCGGTTCTTATTTATTCTTAAGGTTGTGATATCATTCATAGTCGGCAACACAAGTCTGGGGAGAAGCCTGCCGGAAATAGAGTTCTTTGCAAATGCGAAACGTGCCGCAGCGTCCATATTCTTAATAATTGACAGAGTAAGTGACTTAGGCGATTCTGAGGTAAACACAGCAAAAATTGACACTACCACTGATTTTTCATTTGGCCACAGATTCCAGCTATAGATGTGATGGGACAGGGTATGAGACTGGACTCCTTTTCCGGCAAAATTGAATTTAGAAATGTGTCTTTCTCTTATCCGACAAGACCAGATGTTCAGGTAAAATTTTGCTCTTCATTTAGCATTATTTGTCTTAAAATAAAGGGATAAGTGTCGGCTTCTTTTACTTGAATCTTGGTACATACATCGGGATGATGGATGTGCATTAGCAAATAAAACTGAATAATTAGAAAGATGCCCTCAACTATCGTTAATGGTAAGTGTTTTGCTCTGAGTGGCATCATGGTCACATAAATTACATAACAAAAACTAAAAACTACTTGGATGAGCTAGCCAGAGTGAACTATTTTGCTGAAGCGGTGAAATGACGTAGAAATTTCGGTGTTTGCACAGGCAAAAATATCAACCAACCATTGATTTAAAATATCGCTTCTCAGTTCATCGATGTTATGATGCAATAAGTGTGACTAGAATTCCTTAGTCGAACAAAAAGCGTAATAGTAGCTCCCCTGAACTAGTCATTCTGGTGGTACTTACTTTCCCCACGGTTTCACTTTTGTTACAGACCGATGACATTGGAGAGTGATTATTTTCCTAAGTTGCAATTAATTCTTTTAATCACCAACATGTTGTACATCTTGTTATGGAATTCTACTTTGTAATTTATTCCACACTTTACCAATACCTTGTTTCAAAAAAAATATTTCATCTTAAGCTACTTTTATTAGTAAATAATGTAGCCGTTTTCAAGCTTATCTAGCTCAGCAGAGTTTAGTGAGCCGCAAGACTTTAGGAGTGCTAATTAAAAAGGAAATCCCAAAGAAAAATATCCGCAATTTTTATTTTGAATTGGAGGCTGCATCTTGTTTATTGATGGCGTCATCAGCCTGGGGTGGCGATGAACTCTTACGCAGTGATTGTCTGTAATTTTTAGGTTTTGAAGAACTTTTCGTTGACAGTGAATCCAGGTGAGACGGTGGCAATCGTTGGTCCCAGTGGTTCGGGCAAAAGCACAACGGTTCAGCTGATTCAGCGCTTTTACGATGCTGTCCATGGAAGTGTGAGTTTTCAACTCATTCGAAAACATCCTTCCTTCAAAACGTTTTGTATCTTAATAGGACCGTGTCCAATCTTAATGTTTTATTTTGCCTTAGGTATTTCCCGTGCGTAAAACGGAGTAAACTAATTACGATTCCCATTTTTTTTCACTCCATTCATATCTCAGATCCTGTTAGACGACGTAGACATACGCGATCTCAATGTCGCGTGGTTACGTTGCCAACTCGGCGTTGTGTCACAAGAACCAAACCTATTCGCCGGCACGGTCACCGAAAACATCCTAATGGGAAAGCCGGAGGCGGAATTCAAGGAGGTTGAGGAATCCGCCAGGGAGGCCGACGCACACAATTTTGTTGTCACTCTGCCAGAGGTAATTCCAAATTATCGTACTATCTGCAACATAGGGTCCGGTATTTTCACTTACGCTCGCATTTTCACTGCTTATTACCGGCGTACGTGAATTCTAAACTACAAAGCTATTGGGGCATGGCAGTGTGAGATTTAAAGGAATTTAGCAAAACCATGCCCTGCCTGCGTGATAGGCATTGATACAGTTAATTTTTGTTCACGTGATCGACTGATCTTGGCATCCATGAGACTACTTCACTGAAAGGAGAATGCGATTGGGAGCTGCTTGCAAAGTAACCAATAGAACCCTTTTTCTCGTGTTGAAAGGGCCCAGGAACTATTTGACCACCTCCTTTTGGGTCGTAGCAGTGCTGCTAAACAATTTTCTGAGGTGCGACACTGAAAAACTGCTTTGCATGCTTGTCGTTATCAATCTTATCATCAGGGAAGCGTAACTAGGATTCACGTAATATTCCTTTCATTCTTCTATGTAATAATTACTATCACAATTATGAATGAGGTTGGTTAAAATTATTCTGCACCACTTGTCAAATCGTCTACCACTTACTAAGGGCGACAGTTACTGACCTCGAAATTCGAAGGGGCGTGGAAGGCTCACATTATCCCAAGATTCTCCCACTGGTTGTATTGCGCGCTAATTTCTTGTCCACAAAGTACGTTACCTTTTTCAGGCCACTAAACGTTCCAGTTTATCCAAATCCTCCATAAGTGGATCAGCAATAACTGTGACCTAGTTATCAACTCCGGTTCGAATTCATTTACATTTTGGCTCACCAGAATTTAGCTTTCGTAATCAATTAAACCGGCAGTTTCAATAGCACGTAGTTTGAGTCACTTAACACGTCAAACCGATGCTGCCATTTGTCTTCTATGCACACAGCATGTATGGGGGCTTCAAAGGGGTGGATGTGTGCATGCTGCCATTGCCACTTTCGTTAGTCGAAATTTTCCGACGGTGCCACGCCCATTCCAGGTATCTTCTTTTCTTAAATCGAAAAGTTACTACAGATCCTCGGAAGATTACCTCCCATAAGTTTGTAAAACAAAAGTGCTATAATCTATCGATGTCAAAGTGCTACCAGCGAGCTCCACTATGCCTGTGTAATATTGGCCATGGATTCGCCTCATTTTAACGGTAACTTTAAATATTTCGGCTAGTTAGATGTTTATTACGCTTTCTACCTTGGTGCAAGTCGCTTCTAATTTGCTCGGTTAAAAGATGCGCTCTTTTGTAGATGAACTTAACTTTCTAATTTATTTTTCTACCATAATCATAAATGAAAGGTAGCAATCCTTAACATTGTCGAGAAATTTACAAGCTACTCCATACATTAGATAAGAGTAGCTGGTAATGTTTGTGCTACTGTTTTCTCATCAGTGATTGCTAAATTGCCATGATTTGATGTTCTTCTACACTGTTTTTGCGCAAACTATGATGTCACATTACATCGTGTAGCTCTCCAAAAAGCAGACTTGGTACTACTGTGGCGTTCCAAGACTTTCTTGAAGAAAAAAGCCAGTACTCGGGCAGAATATATATATATATTTGACATCAGTAAGGCTTGGGGCTAGTGGCAGTATGGAGGCCAGCCCATCCCTTTCCTTGGTCAAAGGTGGTCGGTGCTGCAAGGAAATACTCACAAGCCAGTTGTGCCACTCATTGAATTTTAATGCAACTGGGGAGATAAACGACTGCAGTGTTACTGACTCCTCTTAGTGGGGAAATGTTCTGGCCATCACGCGTGTCTAAGGCTAGTCGTAGGAACACTGGCCCAAATGCGGAGTTCAATAACAAAGGACGGGATCGGACATAGTTCCGTGGGGACAGAATTGCTTTTCTATTTCTCTTCGTCACATTGTTCTCACTTTAGAGCTGCTCAGCCACATATGCCTACCTCGGTTCTATTCAGCTAGTAGAGGGGTTGAAGAGGTATCGCGGGTTCGAATGCTTGATATTTTTCATGCGGGCACGGTAAGCAGCTTCGTAACGAACTTTACGAGATGGTTCACGGTTGGTGTCGCTAACGTTGTTAGTCTCTTTCCTGCAGAACATGGAACTGGGGTCGCTGCCGAAGGCAGACGTCATTGTTAGCCCTTTTGCTGGGGATCGCCACCTGTTTTCCTATCTGCAGCATGTGCACTTCTACCCCACTAATCTCTTATCAGAGAAAATCAGGACTGGTCTCCTTTAAGATCGGATTTGCTTTCCGCTGCTATCAATGTAGCTCCCCGAGACTTCCCTGAAGACGGGAGAAGAAATATTACTCTGCCAAAATGTATATATTTGACATGCAGTAGGGCTTGGGGGCCACTGGCATGGCCCAGAGACCAGCCATCGCGCGAAGGTACAAAAGGCAGAGACCCAAAGTGGCTCCTTTTCCGAAAACAAGAGTTAAACAAGCAACGTATTACACTGCAGCTCTTTAACATTGAATCCATTTGTGGAGCTGCGTGTTCACTTAAACCATAGGCACTGCCATGATATTGGCG